TCAGGATGTTCTGCCGCCTGATTGATCATGGGCTTTCCTTGCTAGAGTGGAAGGGCAAGCCAGGTTGTTTGTATCTTGAATATCTTTCTACTCTGTTCCATACCTAAACTCATGTATCCTTTACACACCCCAACTCATGGCTGATGTCCACTTGAGAGGTTCTCCACCCCCATTCTCAAGGTCTCCCACTGCTGTGAAATGGGTCTTTGCTGAAATGTAATAAAATTGGGGCAAATGTCAGGACACTGAATTGAGTAAAAAGTGGTATGCAAAAAAATCAGAAGAGGGCCAGGTAGCTCAGTGACAATGATGCGCAGACTACAAGGAATCTTTTTTTTCCCCCATCAGAATGTAAAAGCTCACTAAAATGAGATTGGTTTTGACCTAAGAATTTTTATTTTTCCATCAGACAGTAATTCAAGCACCTCAGAAAATGAATCAACAAAATTTTATGTGATTACTCTGGGTTACAATGACTTGGATCAAAAGGGATAGTAAAGAGGAAGGACACATATTTCTCTATCTTAATCTCATATTAAGACTTCCACAAAAAATAGTTTCAGCAATTACCAAAAAGGTAAATTTTTACCAAAGTTTCAGTCAGAATGATACAGAAAGGCAACAAAAATTCTTGCAAAGAGGAAAAGATTATTTTAATCACTTTTATTTGTATGTGTACTTATGTATGTATCTATATTAACATGTGCACACATGTGGCTGTATGTATATGTGTATGCATATGTACAAGTATATATACTTATGTGTATATGAGTGTGTGTTTATATAATATATATGAATTTTCAAGTTTTTACCCATAAAATCCAAGGTGATAAGTAAAGATAATCATTATCGTTTTATAGAAGGGCAACATGAAATACAGTAAAATTAAAAGATTTGCTTAAGTTCCCTTTAGCTGGTTTTATTTTATTCATTTATAATATATACCAACTCCCTTACTACCCAGAAGCAATCTGTAATCACTTCAGTGCCAAATGGGGATAGTGATGGGTGAAATGGCTGGTCTTAGGGACACCTCCATTCAACCAAGTTGCTCAGAGGGAAAAGTAATGTGTCAACAGTTCTGTATGTAAGTCCTGATCCTGCCACTTGCCCATCTGTAACCTGTGAAGATCACACCACCTCTGCAAACCTCAACTTTCTCATCTACAAAATGGGATGAAAGAAGAGCCTGTCCCCTAGAGTGAATGTGTGGCCTGAAGAACATAATTGACCTAAAGAGTTGAGCTCAGTGTGTGGCATAGTGGGCGAGTGATGATGGGTGGTGGCTTCAACAGATTCCTAGTGCAGTGTCTGCTGCATTCAGTCTTGGATATGATACTATTTTTAAGAACAGCAAGTTGGCCCTTCTTAATAAAATAAACACGCCATGGCTCCTAAGAATTCCAGAGGGTTTTTGTTTTTGTTTTAATTCTGGAGGGATCTGGCTCCCAGAGGAAAAAAGAAAGAAATCTGTAAACCCATTTGCAGTGACAGAAAAGCCCTGCTTTGAACCTTGTGTTTATGTGTGTCATCACCTCTCTCTCACAGATTCACATTTATTGCACAACGTTTTGCCCTTTTTGATGGCAGAGTTACAAGAATGTATAGTTTAAAGTCTGCATTTTGCAAAGGATGTGCATTATTTTTGAGTCTGGGAAACTTCAAAATAATTTGGTTGCCTTCTGTGTTTTGTCTCATTAGGTAAAGGAAAAAAAAACTAGTTGTTTTTTAAACCAATATACAGCTTATGCTTTAATTAAAACAAGAACCAGGCTCATGACCAGAGGGGAAAACCATGAAACACAAAGCCTAAACTACGTAATAGGGCTATGGCTGGAGACTCAGAAGAGGCGTTTTCAACTCCAACATGATTTTTGTAAACATCTTTTTCAAGTGTAATGTGCGTTTTCCTCCCCACTCCTACCATTTAAACAGGAAAGTGGCAAAAGGGCCCTGAGAGATGAAGGTTTATGGAATCCTAAAAATAAAAGCATCTTCATGGGAAATGACATTTCTTTTTATGCCAATAACTTAGCACACTGAAAATATTTTCATTTTTTTCAATTTTAGCCTTTGAATAATTTCCATTTACCCTGAAAGCAGCTGTAACATTCATTGCTCCTAGTTTACCTAAATAGGCTAACAATCATTTCAATATTTATGAGATTATATCTGCTCTTTTTTCCATGAAATCACTGCATAAGAACAGTACAATTCTGGCATATTTAAGGCATTAAACTTAGATGCACTGAATTATATTAAAATAATCTTCTATGCTGTAAATCAAAGTAGAGCTTGCCCACTTCCAAGGGGATTAACATAGATCAGTATCCTCAGTACTACCAACATTTTGGGTTGGGTAATTCTTCCTTGTAAGGGATTGTCTACAACCAACAGGGGATGTTTATAAACCTCCCTGGTCTCTCTACCCATTAGATGCCAGTAGTATTTCCCCAGTATAACAATAAAAAATGTCCCAGGTATTGCCAAATATTCTTGGGGTGGGGTGGGGAGGGAAGTAAAAATTCCCTGATGTGAAACACTGTGTTAAACCACACTCATCTTGTAGAGCCAGTCAAGTGTTATAACTGCAAGTGAATATTCTGGAGACAGATGCTCCTGACTAGGTGGGGGACATTCAACAAGGTATATAAGATCTCCATGCGTCCTTCCTCCTCTGACAGATGGAGATGCTAAGAGCACCTCCTTCACAGGACTGTTGGGAGGATTGAAGGAGATAATGCCTGTCCTACAGTCAGCTCAATAAACATCAGGCATTATTATCGCTTCATCAATTCTATATACTTGCAAACTTGATTCAAGCTTAACTGGAGGTTAAATATCCAAATGAAAGAAACATTTAAAGGGGGAAGTCTGGGTGGGGTTACACTATTACAGATGGACATTTTTATTTATGTTTCAGAGTGATCGAGTTATAGAAACTCAACTATTGCATAATCTTGTAGCCTAATTTGCTAAACAGTTTTAGTTATTGCTTAGCATATTTTATCTTTCAAGTAGAGCTTCCTAATTCATCAAAATTATGGGCTGCTGCCAGATGATTCCTCTGTAAATACAACTGCTCTGTTGTGTTTTTAAAAAAAAAAATCTTGACAGCATGCCTGGTCTTTTCCCTTGAGTTCTTTCTTCACCATTGGTCATATAAATATTATTGTATTATTCACTGAAATAATAACAAAAGCTACCATTTTTAAGAGTAATTTGCCATGTGCCAAGCTAAGTGTTTCACATACATTACTATTTCACCCAATCCTCAAAACAATCTTAAAAGATAGGTGAGAATCTCAGAGAGGTGAAGTTAATGTGCCCCAAATCATCCAGCCAGCAAAAGTTAGAACAAGATAGGAACCTAGGCTGGCTGCCTTCAAAGCCTGTGTCCTCATTTTTTTTTCTTTCCTTTTTTTATTTTATTCTTTTTAATACCAGGAATTGAACCCAAGGAGACTTAACTACTAAGCCACATCTCCAGCTCTTTTTAGTTTTTCTTTTAAGACAGGATCTCACTAAATTGCATAAGGCCTTGCTAAGTTGCTGAGGCTGGCCTCAGCAATCTTCCTGCCTCAGTCTCCCGAGTCACAGGCTTGCGCCACCACCACAACCTTATTATCCAACCCAGAGAGCTATCTCCCAATTCTTAATCATAACACAAGTTTCCTTTTCTACAACATGTTCCATCCTTCCCTCATAAGTCCATAGTTTCATTATTTTCCTTGTTCTTTCACCACTTAAATCAAAATACCTTGAAGGGAGTGGTCATAAGACAACTATTCTCTGAACACTTTCAAGTAATTGAGAGACCAACCACAGATAACAGAAAGATATCATGGGAAGAAGGAAACTCACTTCACATTAAATTTGAATGAGGATCAATTAAAACTGTCTGAAAGCTAAAATAGGAAAGGTTGAATTAACATTTTTTCTGATACAATAATAAAGAAAAATCATCAGATTATAAAAGAGGTAATTCATCAAATTCATCTCAGGGATCTAAATCTGATGTTACTTCAAGGTAATTAGTAAAGCAGAGGAATAAAACTGTTACAAGAGGTGGGTAAAGTAAGTTCATCATTTCCAAACAATTTCCAGGGGTGACCTAAAGTTTTGGACCCTGAGAGATCAACAGATGATGAAGTCAGATATTGTGAGCTCCTGGAAAGAAAAGTTTTATGTCTAGCTCAGAAACAGCACATGTCCCACCACAGACTTTGAGAGCCCAATGTTTCTGGGGCACTAGATGCCAAGATGTCTGTGGGTGTGGCAGAACTGACTAGGTGGCCAAGGATAAGTCACATGGAGCTCTAAGCAAGGCACATGTAGACAATTCACTCAGAGCAGCCCTGAGTGAACCTGAAGAAGCAGAATGTTTGTGAGTGTTATAGGAACTTAAAGAATCATCAGCCACAGTATTACATAATTAATAGAACCTCAAGGTCAGCTGGTCCAGTTGCTAAAGAGTTTTAGTTATTGCTTAGCTTATGACTTTTCCTGAATATTCCCAAACCAGTGTCCAGTTTGTGCTTTGATACCTACAGTGACTGAAAAAAAATCCCTTTATTTTTTATCAATTAATAAATGTCAATTTGGCTTCAATCTGTGTTGTTATGAACTGTGGAGAATGCTGGCATGGAGTAGCCAGATATATAAGAAAATTGAGAATTAAAATTCATAAGATTGATTATGTGCATACTCAGACAATCAATAATTTTGACAACACTGGAACAGATTAGGAATGGGAGGCTCAATGAGTTAAGTGCCTTGCCCTTCTAAGCTTGCACATAATTAGGTGGGGTTCACTTCTTGGTCCAGAGACCTTCAAACCACACTTTGATTACCACACAGAGTTCCTTGCTTTCAATTTCTAAATGTAGTCCTAGGAGTTGCTAATAAACAGATGACAATAAAGTATGAATTTGAAGGTAGAAGATCTTGAAAGCATTGTTTACAAGAAGTAACACTTTTTTAAAAGAAGTAATACTTACAGATATGTCATCACTAAAGTCAATTTCATCCAAATCAAGATATTCAGGGGCTTCCATTATTCTTCTTTGCACATTTTGAGTAAGATCAAATACTTATGATTTCCTGGCAAAGACAGAAATAAAAAAGAAAGGCAAAATGTTAGCTGTTTATAGCCAAAAATATTATCTATATTTAAACAAACATGAAAGTGAAAGATAATCAGGTGCCAGTATATTTCCAGAGTATATTCAGGGTATATTTCCCCTCTCCAAAGCCCCTCACTGGGCTTTCCAGAAGCAGGAGCACAGCTCCTCCACAGACCCCAGCATGGCTCCCCAGACAGCAGCCATAATTCTTTGCTTTACCTGATTTGCACTTGCTTGCCTTTGCCAGAGCAATAACATGGGTCAGAATTTTCCCCTATGATCAATGTTAGGATTCACTCCAATACACACCCTGCTCTCACCATACCCTGGGTGCACGTATGGGATTCAAAGAAAGGGAACCAGCCTGGGACTCTTAGGAAAACCATATTCATGTATTTCCTGAAGGCATATCCTTGGATTCTGTGCATAGAGCAATGAATACTAGGATCTCTACCACAATCATAGAAGTATAAGATACCAACTAATCTAGAGTAACAGCTATTTTAGAATTTGTGGTACAACATCCCATACAATTCTAAAAAGCTAAAAAGCTAAAAATCAAGAGGGTGGGGAGGGAGAAAGAATGAATGAATTAAGGAAAGAAAGAAAGGAAGGAAGCCTTCTTCTAAGTCTAAATCAGATTGAAGCCACAATTATTACATTGCCCTCTGCCTTAAACAGCTTTGTCTGACTGTGCCAGAGTGACCTGACACAGGCACCAGAATGTCCTCCGTCAGCACTTGCCTCGGGGCTGCCTGTGGCAATCCTTTAAACCTGTCAAGGTAAGATGCACTGCCTCTCACTTCATCTTCCCATCACTTATCATCATCACCGTCGGCAGTGGCAGTGGCACCTACAGATATCAAGAGCAGAAATATAGATCTCCTGGCAGTGCCTTGGTGTGCAATTATCTTCTGCCAAACCAATTCTCAGATACTGAAAGAAAATTATATTTCCCACAACTTGTCTTTCTTATTATAAAAATTGTCTTATACACCCAGACTTGAGTATTTGAAATGATCCATTTTTCTCTCTTAGTTCTCTAAACAAGGTGTTCCTTGCTGAACAGAAAAGAGCCATTACTGGAGAGCGAAAGTGCATCTAGGCTGATGAAAATGGGCTTCTGAATACAAGATCAAGTGCAAAAATGCTTGTTTTTTTTTTTTAAAAAGGAAACTCTTACTCTAAATGCATTGCCTTTTTATTCGAGCTATTTCTCTCTCTTTTTTAAGCTATGTAAAATGTGTTATTACAATAAAGAGGAAAAAAATCATTCCTCAAACCTATCACCTAATTTTTCCTGTTTCCTTGCCTTTTTTTCCTCACACACATGCATCATTTTTTACATAGTTTTATTTATAGCAGGTAAAGAGTCCCAAGAAAAAATTTAGAATGCTATTTTTACAATCAAGTGAGATAATCTACTTATGATAAATGGATAAAGTTCTTCTGAAATCATAAGGTTTTTTTTGGGGGGGAGGGGTGCATCCTGAGGACTGAACTCAGGGACACTCAACCACTGAGACACATCCCCAGCACGTTTTTTTGTATTTTATTTAGAGACAAGGTTTCACTGAGTTGCTTAGCACACCTTGCTGTTGCTGAGGCTGGCTTTGAACTCTCTATCCTCCTGCCTCAGCCTCCCAAGCTGCTGGGATTATAGGCGTGTGCCACATGTCCTGCTGAAATCACAAGTTTTTAAAAGAAAAGAAAATCAAATTTGTATTTGTAAAAATAATTTTAAGCCAGAAATTTTGTTATTGACAGAAATCCTAAAATAGGTGCTCAAGCAAATAGTTGGGTATAAAAATACATTACTTTTCCTTGTAATCCTTACAGAACTTTTCAGAGGAAAACACACACATTTGTACTTGAGAATTACTCAAAATAACTTTCTCTTTCTGGATTTCAGCTCATCAGCTAACAGTCTTTCTTCCAATCTAATTTCATTTCACTAAATCTGTCCTTCACAATGACTAGCTGATCTACAGACTCTTCCTGTGCCTTGGTGAACAACACAAAGATGATATGGTACAAATAAACAAACAAACAAAACAGGGGAGCTGCATGCTAATCCTTTCTTGGATGGACTCTATCTACTACAATTAAAACTGTGGAAAAAATGGCATATGCCTGCAGGAAGGGAAGGGGGAGAAACATAGAAAATTAAGGTAGGTAATAAGTTGAAGGTACAATATTTTTTGTTTAACATAATCGTGCCATTTGTTTAGCTTTTAAAAAATAGCTCAAAATGAGCAAGCCATGCATTCAGAATCACCAGCAACATGGAAATATGAGGAAATTTATATGAGAACTGAGGACTAAGAAGATCTTTAAATATATGGAAATACAAAACTAAATACAAGATGAAGATGAATATGCCTTAACTAATCAACTTAGCAAAGAGTCACTGAATACCTGTTTGAGATGCTCTGACAATAGAGAGACAGGGCCCTATCCACTTGAGGTTTGTCATTCTAGTAGCATGTAACCAGTGGGTAATAACATGACATCAAAGCAGAAAGTCTTTGTGTCTGCACTTGAAGGAAGGTAGTGAAATTCTTCATTCTGTAGGCCAGAAGGTAAGAGTTACAACAGCTGCAGCCCATTGTAGAAGACCTGGGTCCCTGCGCATGTTATTCTGGTTGGACGACCCAACTGAGACTAAGGGTCCAAGACACCAGGAGCTTTCCTTTGCTTCCTAGCAGGCCTCCACACACAGCCATCCACTTCATGATGTCTTATTCTGTCTATGTCACACTTTCTGTAGTCTGGTTTCGATGCTTCTTTCAACGTGTCACTTTGAGAGCATTTACATTGCCAGTAAAAATGTGCAGAAATACCCACAGATCACCAATCCTGACCGTGTTTCCAATTGCTTCTTTACAGGCAGGGGTGAGTTCACAGTTGTCCCCAAGGTCATTACTGTCTCCCTCTTTCTCATCTGCCCTTTCACAGATCATTGCCAGCTTTGGGTCCCCTTCTGAGGCAGTAAGGTGAGGTCGGGTCAAGATGAAACAAGATGAGGAAACTAAGCTAGAAAAGCAAGACCCTGGTCGATTTGCTCATCCTTCTCTTCTGCCACCTCCCACCAATCTGCAGTGGAAACCCAGCAACTCCCATTTCTGACTGCCGACATGAGTGCTGTAACAGAAAACTCAGCTACACAGGGCACATCAGAGGCCCATGAGCCAAGTCTGGCACACAGATGTGATTTGTTTGGCCCGCATAGTATTTTAAAAAATCGAATCAGTTGCCAACTTGTAGACCTTGGGTAATTTCACATAAAATTCTGAATTTCTGGCTTTGCTTTAAAGTATCTGAAGCTACTGCCACATTGGTTCACTTTCCCCATGACGCCAACAGTAGCTGCTCCCACCTATCTATGAGGTCTGTGCTCCCCACTTTACCAGATCCCCTCTGTGGTTGCTCTACTAAGGCACATGCCCTGCCTAATCTTGACTAAGCCTCAGAGGGTCACGCACTCAAATGCCCTGACCTTGTGGGTATTCAAGGGTTTGACCTTCAGAGGGAATTCAATATTAACAATAAGTACCATCACCACTATCATTACTACCACCTTTTTAAATTGGTGTCTCCTGCCAAAAATGTTGATGTCATTTGTAATTTAAGACAGAAGTTGTATTTTTAAGATGGTTTTAAATTCTTATAGCACAACAGCAACAAAACAAAATTTCTTACAAATAAACTACTGCTGGGGGTCACAATTTGTGCTTTCACTGAGTCTCTGTTTTCTTTCTTAGAAAACCTTCACAAACATAATGTTACAAGGTGGGGATTATGCTTCTAACTGGAATACGGGAGGGTTCTTGCTTTGTTGTGGATTTACATGGGTCCATTTTACTGCTGAGAGCAAAGAGGACAGAGGAAGTCATGCGAAGGGCAAGCCCAGATAGACCCCAAACCATCCTCCATCTGACCCAAACCAGCAGCTCAGAGACAAGAGGGCTGCCCATTCTCAGGCTAGCAAGGATGAGTTTATGCCTGAGTGAAAAGTAATTTTCAGGCTTCCCAGAATGGGCAGTTCAGCTTAAAATCCTTCCCATGAAATTTTTATTGCTATGTATCATAGTTGGCCATGGGCCCCCTTCAAGATCCCAGGACCTAGTCATCTGTAAATTTGTACTGCACCCCCATACCATCAGCCTACAACCTGTGTCACTTATCCCTGGTTCTCTGAGATCTCCTGAGGGCTTTCTATTTTCTTATAGTCCCTCTCGCCACAACACACATCTCTCAAGATCTGACTTAAGTATTGTCCACTGATTGAAATTATCCCATTTCAAGCTCAGTTTGTTTTAAATGTATCTTCACTGCATTAGCAATTTTCAATTTGTTATTCATGTAGGCAAGTGTGTTCTGTGTTTTGTTTTTTTAAAAGAGAGGAGAGAAGATGCTAGGCTGGGGCAGGGTAGGAGAGAAAGGTAAAGGAAACATTTTTCAATGGTTTATTTGAAAATTTGAAATTTTTAAAAATTTGAGTAGAAAAACTGATAGGGAGGGAAAGAAGAAAAATATTAGAGCACAGGGACACAGAATCAGATGCTGGAATATATGCTGCGTGGAAGCTGCTGGTGACATCTTGGTTTCTTCTTTGAATGCACCCAGAGTACAGGGAGAAACTTACCCCAACTCCAAACTAATGCTTGGCTTGGAGAGATGAAGAATGAAGTAAAAAAAATCATCAACCATGCACAGCATCTGTAGGCTTTTCCAACTTCCACAGAACTTTGATAAGCTGCCAAGAGCAGAAGTCCCTCCAATGCCTATTAAAATGTATGTTAGGGGCACATGCCCCTGATGGGTCTATCAACAACATGTCACCTTCTCATGAGTGACCTCAGAGATGGCCCCACTATTTCCCTCAAGGGAAGATTCCCCTGGGAAAGAGCTCAAAGTAACAGAGTCAAATGGGATCATAAAAAGTAGCTAAGCCACTGAAAATAGTATGTTTCCCTGTTCCCCAGTACTATGATTTTCGGTGACATCTTGATTTTTTTCTTTTTTTTTTCTGTTGTTGTTATTTGGAAAAGAAAACTAACTAAAAATCATTTCAAATGAAGACTTCCAAAGAAATCTGTTGGGTAATGGCAGCATCACTGGAAAAAGCTTAGAGTGGCCAACAAAATTTCTTTGAGAAACCATACTCCATTTTAATGTATACATTCTAGTGTGCTTGGCTTATAAAAGGCTCATTGATTTGTGACCATAGTCACATATCACATAAATCGCTTTACTGAAATTCCTTTTAAAATGGATCGCCTCACTCCATTTTACAAGGAGTCAGTATGGACTCATTCTGAAGGCTCAAGTTACACACATTTCTCATTTTCTGCCAAAGTCACTATTCTTACATTTACCAGTGTACTATGAGTCTTGGTAATTAAAAATAAGCTGGGCTTGTCAAAATAAATGAGCAGAGTACATTTGGCCATGAGGTAACTTCAACTGATTTGCATTACAATTTATTTTTTCATTCTTGAACCCACCAACACTTGAGAAAATATAGCCACTCCCTTCCCCCACCCCGCACACACACACACACCTGCCAAATTCACACTGGGATAAATTTTCAGTGTGAAAGCCGGCATGTAGATATTCAGCTTACTTTCTTCGATGTAAGAGCTTTTTTAAAAAAATCACAAACTAAGAACTGGAAGGCTTGGGTGGAAATGTTGTCCCCGTTGGCTCAGTAACTTGGCCGGCAAGGAAGCATCTCCTTCCAAATGCTGGATTCAGTTTCCTTCCCTCTTTGATTCAACAGTGGCCAGAAGCATGGCAGTTGCTAAATGCCTAGTCTAGAAGCAGAAAAATGACAGAGGCAAGAAATTTCTACCAGAAAGAGGCAACTGAAGGAGTGCCAAGCAGTACACACAAGGAAAATTTGGGAAAGCACAGCCCTTCGGCTTTTCCCCTGTTGGTGTGTGGAATATTCTGGTGTACATGCTGTAGGGCTGTACAGTACACACAGTGTAAAGTGAGAGGAACAAGAAAACACACCGTTACAATGTAACATGGACTTGCTTAGATAAACACACAGGAACCTAGGAAGCTCGTCTAGACCTTAGAGAGGAGAGGAGCCTGCCTGGGGTAGACAGAAAGTTAAAGGATGAGGGGCAGGGGCAGGAAGAAACTCTAGGAACAGTTCTAGCATGGGCAGAGCCTGGAGGTGAGAATACTGAAAGAAGATTTCTAGAAACATGACTGATCTAGCACCTATTGCTATACTTTTCCCTCTAAAAAGAGATTTTGAAGGGTGAATACCAGAGTGGTGGGGTGATAAATAGAAATACTCAGGGCCATATTTCTAAAGCTAGAGTGTAGACAGAGCACATTCTGGAACATCCTATTTTCTGGCTTATTTGAAAAAATACAACTGAATATTTGATATCAGACAAAAGACTTCATTGTAATATACTGAGCCTGCTCTAGCTCCTGGGGAAGGAATAATGTGTTTTCTCCGTGCTGTCCTGGGGGGTCATTCATGATTTCTGAACTCTAACACCAAGAATGAACTAACTTTCACTAGAACTTCAGAGCTTGGATAGACCTTAGTTTTTAAGCCTAGGGAAGAAATGCATGTTTATAATTATAATTTGTGTGTGTGTGTGTGTGTGTGTGTGTGTGTGTGAGTGAGAGAGAGAGAGAGAGAGAGAGAGAGAGAGAGAGAGAGATTTAAAATGAATTTAACACTGCATCTTCTTCTTGGAAGAAGGGAACAATTCATGCTCATAGCAACTGTACAAGAGAGAATAAAAGAATATACAATAGAAAAAATACACATGAACACACACACACACACACAAAATGAAAAGTATATTGTGTTCAGTTCTGGAGGTCACTTCTTAGGAAGGCCACATTCTAGGTGGACTGCAATGTACCAGGACACAGTGAGGAAGCCAAGACAGCCAGGATTGGGAACCTCTTGTCTTAGGAAGCAGGGCTAAGGAAATATCAACCTTATAGAAGAAAAACATTCTCTTTTCTCTCAAGAATTTAAAAATTCAGCAGATAAAGAGAAGGATTTAATTTGAGGATAGATCTTAGAGGAAGTTGCAGAGATTCTGAAGGTGCTATAATGAAATAGGATGCTTTGCAAAATTGAAACCACCCAGAAAGAAATAGTTCAGACCAAAATTTGGAAGGATACACTGAGAAAGGAAGAAGGGAGGAGGGGATGGGAGGATGCAAAGGAGGAAGAGGAGAAGAAGGAGCAAGAAGAGTAAGAGGAACGAGACAATGAAGAAGGTGGAGAGAGAGAGGAGGAGGTTCTGTGTGGTCTGAGAGGACACTGGGAAAGGTCCTTGAGGTCCTGGGACTGTCCTGATTTTTATCCTTCTTGAGGGTGCTACCTATGACAACCTCTGTGAATCTTGCTCATCCTCTTTCATTTGCTGTCCTAATCCCACCAGGAGCTTGAATGAAGTATGAGAGGAAAAGGGAGAGAACAAAAACGTTAAAATGAAAATAATTTTAAAAGAGAACTGGAATGTTGCTCGCTCAGTGAGCATAGGACTTTCTGTTGCAGATGAAAGCTTATTAATTAATTCCACAAGGTGAAATGCTGATCTAATGAGACCCAAACAAAAAGAGAATACCTGGGAAGAAAAAGAAAGCATTTCTACCACTGGGAAGTTGAGTATGGGCCTAAGCCAACTGTGTCTTGCACTGGCTTCTGGAAATGAACTATGGAATAATCTGGGAACTGGTTTCTTAGTTATGTACAGGAAACTATCCAAATCCAAGTTCCAAATTTTTGGCGCAACTGAGGTGGTCATGCTTTATTCTTGATTTTGCAAAGATTACTTATTTCTACAGTGGATTTGTTCGTTTGGTAATTGTTGAAATGTATGGAATACAGACAGCAATCCTGGTTCCCATTTTAGAGAGAAGGAGAAATGACAGGAATATGCACGGAGAGCACTGAAGATGACCTTTTGAGTCAGTTAACTTGACTTCATTCTGATCGTTTGTGGGGATTAAACTCTGAAGCAACCCTAGACTCGTGGCTCTCAAACATTAGTGTGAATGAGAATCATCCAGAAGGCTCATTAAAACAGATTTCTGGCCCAGAGTTTGATTCAATAGATCTAAGGTGGGGGTCTAAGAATCTGCATTTCTGACAAGTTCCCAGGTAATGCTGATATTTCTGGTCCCAGGAACACATTTAAGAATCACAACCTAAGATCAGCATCCATTCCCAGCTCTGGCTACATCTGCATTTAATTAGAAGATGGTGACCTCTTCCCCACATCCTCCAGCTCCCCAGATGTTAACTTCATTATACAGGATCCATGCCTAGTGCCCTTCTGATTAAATTGCCTCAGTGGACTCCACCGAGCATTTCCCATGAAGACCACCTGGAAATCTCAGAAGGTCTTACGTCGGTCTGTTTTGTTTTTAATTCCCAGTGCTGTGTAAAGGACAGACATTGGCCCACACAATCCTACAGAATTTAAGCCTTGGCTACTTTAAAATTTACTTCCTCTGTAGTATATTCATGAGAGCAAAGATGTTCTAAGTCTCTTTTGTAAATGAGATCCAGATTTATAATTTTCAACGCAGTCTTTTTAGAGCAGGAATCTCAAATTCCAAGGTACTCATTCACTATAACTATCGTAGAATAAATCCCAAGTCTAGTCATAAAAAAGGAAATTTTAAAAATATAACAGGAATAAGCTAAGAATTCAACGCTGACACAAATGTATGCACAGATATTTAAAATAACTATTCCCTGTACTAAAGCACTCTAAATGGCTGCACTGAAAAATAAAAACCCAACCATGTATTTTTAATTGTAATTATAATGTGATTACTTTTATTGATCAAGAAACCAAATTATTAGGAACACTTTATTGGTTCTTTTGTAATTTGTAAATGTACCAATGTAATAACCAAAAGGGGAAATAAATCATGTATAAAATAAATGTCATTTTTTCTGACTAAAAGAGTATAGTTTGATATATGTTTTCATGTTTAAGCAATGACAGTGGGCTACCTGTCTGTAGCAACCAAACAGTTGTACACCTACATATACACACTGAATATAATTTAGCAAGTTAATTCTTTAATTCAATGCTTTTATTTAGCCCTAATATACTAAAGATACTTAGGGTAAGGCCAGTGAATAAAATATACTTCCAGATTACATGAGGTACTATTACTAAAAGTGCAAAAAAGGAACACCACACACCTACCTAATGTACTTCCAATATGTGTGGAGGCATTTCAAGAAAAACACAGATGAAAACATAAGATTACTCAGGAGTATCTTTGGGAATTCATCTAGGAAATGTTATCCTCAGTTTCAACAGTATGTTGTTTTTTTTATACAACACATTGCACAGAGTAAATACTTAATATAGTGTTAATTTTGAGTTCATTTCCAGACTGTGATTGTTGTTACTTTAGAATTGCTACATAAAAAGTCTTGGTATTATCCTAAATAACAAATGGTGTGATGACTATTTTTCTTCTATAGGCAATAACTTAGAGATCTTATGTCTTCCTCTTGCAGTTTCCCTCGTTAGTCTATTTTGGAGATGAGTCAATTCTCTAGCAGTCCTTTCAGAAACTGTTATTTAATAAGGGCTATGAAAACTTTAGCTGAACCCTCCAAACACAAGGCCTGTTTTCTGGGGATTAAAATTGAGTTCTTGGCTATTAAGCATATGGAGAAAGAGTAACATTCACAGACTGTGGTGCGGGTGTTTCCTCCTTGGCATTACAGAAACACACCAACTTCATTTTATAATTAACCAACATAAGCAGGAAAGGACTGAGAGCAGAGAAGCCTGAAGAGAGGGCTGTGAGAACAGCTGGAATAAAGACATAGGCTGCCAAGTCTTTCAAGAAATAGACTAAGATAAAGTGAGAAATCCAAAGTGGAGTGATCAACAACATTAATAAAATACTGAACTTGGCCCCTCTAAGAATTTCAGTTTCTGAATCATCATCTCCAATCCAGATGTCACCATATGTCATCTTCTTTTTCTCTGAGAGGAGGAAAGACATCCAGAAACAGACAAAGACTAAGATAGCTAAGGGAAGAATATCAATCAGAACTAAAAATATTTTCCCATAGTAAAACTCTACCTGCTTGTTTCCAAAGCCAATTAAGCAATCCATGTAAATCCTGTTAGTAGACAAGGAGTCTGTATCGTTTCCTGTGTTCAGGTATTCTGATTTTCTAGTATAAATTAAAACTGGGATGTACACTGCCACACCAGCCACCCAAAGTGCAGAGACCCGCTTCAGGGAATGTTTCTGTTGGTCCAGGTTTGCAGCCTCACTGGAGCAGTAGACAATGTGGTAGAGCTTCCGGTGGTAGAACAATGCAAAGTGTAACAGGAACCAGATGGCCAGTGAAGTTGTCAGGGCTGCAGTGAAGTGCAGAACTTTGCAACCAGCTGAATCCAGCACGATACCAGAAGAATACACAATTTTCATGACATTGACTACCAAGTTTTTTATAAGGTGGACAAATACAAGACTGAAAGTGAGAAGAAATGATGTCTTCAAACATCCAGAGATGCACTTCCTTGTAGAATAAAATAAACAAGTGTTTCCCACAAAGCTGACAAGGATTAGCATGGCACAAGCGATGATCTCAAGCACGTCTACAGAGAGCTTCATGGTAAATGCCAAATCAGTATTTCAAATACCTTTTCTCTTCAGCTTGGCTCATTAGGCTTCCAGAACACTTTTGAGGGGCCTTTAAGAAAAAGATCTCTTGTTTTGTTTTTTTTTTAATCCACTATATTGAAAAAATCTTCAACTGGTAATATTTTAACAGTTCAAAAACGGTCCATAACAGAACTCTGCTTGCTCCAGCAATGAGCAGCTGAAAACAGAATGACTTCCCAAGAGAATGCTGTTATATCATCTCCAGGGGCTTAACTATGATGAAAGGTTCTAGGTATCATTGCTTAATTAAAAGTTCTCAGAAATATATTTATGGTACTCTAATGCAATTTCCTAGACATAGAATGATACAGTTTTCAAAACAATAGGGGGAGTATCAAATTAAGTTCATTATAGCAAAGGAAAGGTGGTCACTGGTTAAATCACCAGGAAATATCACAAAATATGAAAATATTCAAAATCACAAAATATAAAATTAAGATTGAAGGGAATAACATGACAGATTTATACAAGTGCAGTATTTTGTACTTTACTATTTTTGCAAATCATGGATACCGTTACCTGTTCTGATGACCTCATGGGGTTGTTAGGAATACAAAAGATGATAGAAAATACTTGTGAAGAAAGTAGAGGAACAAAAAAGGAAAAAAGAGAGCCACAGAAGGCAGATGAAGATAGGGTAGGAAGAAAAGGAAGAAGACGTTTTTATAAATCTAGACACCATATCCATGACCAAATCTCTAAACTGTTGGTTAACAAAGTATTTAATAATTGGGAAATGATTAGAGAAATTTTCATGCTTGGAGAACAAGAGGCTGGGAAAAGCCTTCTCTTCTAAGTATGACTGGAGAGAGTACAGAGCAAGGGTAGAAAGATGGCACTGAAATACACTGTCTAAAAAAACCTGACATTAACTCACTTTCTGGATGAATCCTGTTGGCCAAGTATATCCGAATGATCTTACTTACTCTGAGGACAAAGTACTGTCATGCAGGGCTTAACAATAGATAGGCATAGGTTCTGAAAAAAATGCTTTGATATCTGATCTCATCATTGTGTGAACATCACAGAGTGTGATTACACAAACTGATGGCTGTGACATCACTAGATGGCACAATCTTATGGAATCACCATCATCTATGCAGTCTGTTAAATGAAAATCTTACGAGAATCCTGGCTGTACTTTCCCTCTACTGCATTTGCTTGTAAGTGTTGTTGTCAATCATCCTACTCTACACTGTCAAAACATGAACTTTCTCCTGACCCAGAAGTGCAGTGGAACTAGTTTACACTGTTGTGAGCAATTGTGCTCGCCTCTTTACAACTCTGTGTCCAGTGATTTCATGCTGACAACTTATAATTAGCAGTATCGGGAATACGCACACTATGGAAATTGGCAAATACTACAATTCAAGATGTTTTTTGGAGGGAAGCTATTTTCTTAAGTACAACAATGGTCTGAAAAAAAGGTATGGATTAGAATGATATGAAATTAGTTAATACTTTATCTGTATAAAAAAACTCAGTATTTGGTATCTGCCACCCTTTCAGTAAGGAAATGAAAATCTCCTAGAGTCCAAGTGGTAAGAGAGGTATCACAGTATTAACAGAGAGAAAATCTACACCCCAAACTCCACTGCTGGGGTAGGTGGGGGTTAGGGTCTGACAATTTCCTACTAACTCCTTTTCCCCTAATTGTATACAAAGATGGCTAACTCACTCAGAGTTGCCACACACCAAATTTATCTTTCCTTAGAAATATCAATGCCAATTGTAGTCAAATAGGAAATCCTGTTTCTGATGATGATGATGATGATAATGATGATGACAACGATAGTGATAATAAAAATAACACAAAATAATGCTCATTTTGGCTATAATTTCTTTGACCCAGACACTGTGTTGGTGTTATGCTTTATAAATTTATATGATGTAATCTTTCATATAATTCTCATTTCACTGATAAGGAAATAAAAGACCAGAGAGTAAACTGCTCTAAGTTATGGGTGAATAAGACAGCAATCCCAGCCAGTTATGACTGATGTTCAAGCCACTGGCTCTTAGGCTCTCTTCACACATACTTTCAGACTATAGATTTTTCTACTAATTAGTCTCAATTTCCCACTAATGATTTATAATTGGTACAACCAACAGATAAAGTCTATGAACATGCTTATTTTGAGAAGACTTTCCTTGAGTTTATAATATACAAGTCATGAACATTTTTGAATGGTAGTTGGTTTTTCCCGTTATCTTCCAATAATAATAAATACTAATGTTTACAGTTTGGTACCTTATGAAGTCCTACAAGAATTCTGTATGCTTGATTCAAGTTGCTTTACTTGAAATGGAAAAATACTCTATCCACAAGAGAACACACAAAAATCAAGAGCTTTCTTATATACCAATGATGAACTGCTGGAAAGAAATCAATAAAATTCCTCCATTCCCAGTAGCCCCCCAAAATACTTAGGAATAAATATAACTAAAGATATAAAAGAACTCTATGATTAAAATTATACAATGCTGAAGAAAAAAGTGAAGAAAACCTTAGAAGATGGAAAAACCTACCATGTTCATAGATAGGTAAAATCAATATCACCAAAATAGCCATAATATCAAAACCAATCTACAAATTCAATGCAATTCACATCAAAATACCAATGACATTCTTCACAGAACTAGAATACACAGCCCTAAAATTTATATGAAAGAATAAAAGATCCAGAATAGTCAAATCAATCCTGAGCAACAAGAGTAATATGGGAGGCACCACAATACCTGATCTCAAATTATACTACAGAACTACAGTAACAAAAACAGCATGATGTTGGCATTAAAAAAACATATATGAAGACCAATGGAATAAACTAGAAGACTCAAACAAATGCACACAAATACAGTTATCTGACCCTTGGCAAAGGTACAATAGCCTTTTAAACAAATGGTGCATAGAAAAAGGGATATTGGTATATAGAAGAATGAAACTAAATCCCTACCTCTTACCCTGCACAAAAATCAACTCACAGTGGATCAAGGACCTAGAAATTAGACCAGAAAATTTGCAACTGTTAGAAGAAAATATAGGGACAACATTCCAATACACTGGCACAGCCACCAACCTCCTTAAGAGTCCAAAAGATGAAGAAATAAAGCTGAGACTCTATAAATGTTAGGTAATTAAATTTAAAAGATTCTGCACATCATAGGAAACAAGAGTATGTAGAGAGAGCCTACAGAATGGAGAATATCATTGCCAAATACACTTCCAACAGGGGCTTAATAACAAGAATATAAAAAGAACTTAAAAACTTTACACCAAAAAAACCTTAATAATCCACATAATAAATGGGCAAAATATCTAAAGAGACATTTCTCAAAATAAAAAATACAAATGGCCAGTCAACATATAAAAAGTTATTTAACATTTTAGCAATCACGAAGATGCAAATCAAACTACACTGAGATCTCCTCTCACCTCAGTTAGAAAGGCAATCACCAAGAATACAAATAATGATAATTGCTGATAAGGATGTGGGGGAAAAGCTACACTTAAACATTGTTGATGGGAGCAAATTAATACAACAACTTTAGAAAGCAGTATAGAGATTCCTCAAAAGACTAACGGTCTTTTGGTAACCATGTGACCCAGATATCCTACTTCTTGATATTTATCCAAAACTAATTAAAATCAGCATACTATAGTGATACATGCATAGGAACAGATAGGCATAAAGTAAATATTCCTAAATATAGAGCATCAAAATTCACAATAGCCAAGTTATGGAACCAGCCTAGGTGACCATCAATAGACAAACGGATAAAGAAGAGTAGGATATATGCACAATGTATTTCTACTCAGTCATAAAGAAGAGTGACATGATGTCATTTGCTCGTAAATGGATGGAACTGCAGAACATTAGGCTAAGTGAAATAATCCAGACTCAGAAAGTCAAGGGTCAAATATTTTCTCTCGTATGAGGAAGTTAGACAGAAAAATGTGCATCTCTTGAAAACAGAAGAGAGATCAGTAGAGAACAAATAGGGGACCAGTGGAAAAAGGGAAGGATTAGAGCAGGATGTCAACCAAATTATGCTATGCACAGACATGAACATCATAATTCATTCCAGTTTTAAATATAAGTATGTTTTAGTCAGCTTTTTCTCTGCTATGACTAAAAGGACTGACCAGAATAATTGTAGAGGAGGAAAAATTTACTTGAAGCCTCACAGTTTCAGAGGTCTTGATCCATAGAGAGCTCGTTCCACTCCTCAGGTCTCCATGCAAGGCAGAACAACACGGTGGAGAGTGTGGCAGAGGGAAACAGCTCACAGGATGATGGGGCACAGAAAGAGAAAGACCTCCACTTGCCAGAAACAAATATATACCCCAAAGCCAATGAACTGCTTCCTCCAGCCACACCCCACCTGCCTCCACTTACCACTCAGTTAACCCCATCAGGGATTAAGTCACTGATTAAGTTAAGGCTATAACCCAATCATTTCTCCTCCAAACCTTCTTGCATTGTCTCACACATGAGCTTTTGGGGGACACATCTAAACCATAATAAACTGTAATGGGCCAATTAAAAACTAAGTAAGTAAATAAATAAAAAAGAAGAAAGACCAATAAAGTAGAGGGAAGGTATCAGCAGGAAGGAGGAATAAAGGGAAAGAGGAAATACTAGAGACTGAAATGAGGAAAACTGTATTATATGCATTTATGAATATGTGAAAATGAACCTACTGTTTCATATAAGTATGATGCACTAATTTTTTCAAAAGGATCCAGAAGCACAAATGACTACCTGGGGTAGATTTGTAAAGTTGTGAAGGACAACCCTAAATGACAAGCAACCTATGAGCCCACTGTATTAATCCATTTCTCATAGAAAAATAACTGACACTGGATAATGTATAAAGAAAAGAAGTTTTATTTATCTCATAGGTTTGGAAGCTAAAATTCCAAGATCAGGCTTCCTTATTTGTTTGGCCCTTGGTGACAGCCCCTTGGCTTTGTTCCACTGTGGACGATATTATGTTAGAAGTGTGTATGAAAGGCAGAGATCACATGGTGAAAAAGGAAGTCAGAGAGAGAGAGAGAGAGAAAGGTGGGGTTAGTCTGACTTTTTCTAATAACCCACTCATGAGAACTAACCAGGATCCCATGGGAACTACATTAATTCCTTCCAAGGTCAGCAGATCCTAGGATCCCATCACCTTCCATTGGCTCTACCTATTCAAGGTTCTACCACCTTCAAATATGCACCCTTACTAAAGACCAAGCTTCCAATCTATGAACTTTTGGGGGATGCCCTCGAACCATATTCAAACCATAGCCTTTTCTTCCTCAAGTGCTCAAGTACAGTCTACAATGCAACATGTATCCATCCCCAGGAGTGCCAAAGTCTTGACTCATTCCCCTGTCACTCAAAAGTCCAAGACCAAAGTCTCATTTGAGAATCAAGGCAACCTGCTTCCAGGTAGAAGCCTATAAAATAAAAAACAAATTACACCTTTCTAAGCTTCAAGGAACAGGCAGACACAAATAAATATCGCCTAAAGAATAAATATATGCCTAAAGAATAAATATATGCCTAAAGAAAAGGGAAGCGGGGCGGGGGTGGGGGAGGGTCACAGGTCTCTAGCAAGAATAAATTCCATCAGGATAGACACTTAATCTTGAAGTTCTAAGTCTGACATCTTGTGCAACCTTTAGGGGAAAGGACCTTAATCCCTCAGGGAACCCTGTCCACTGGCTTTGCTGGTTTCAAGTGACATGGTTCTCTCTCTGGCTGTATGCTGAGGCCTGCAGTTTTACTAGGCTGGCTCTGCACACTGCTGGTTGCTCTACTTTCCTGGGGTCCCTGCTGTGGATCCACTTCAGCAGCTCCACCAGGCATTTTCTCAGTGGAGAATCTCTACTGGCTCTGGTTCTGGAGCAGGTCTCTGCCTGGCTTCCCAGACTTTCCTTTGAAATTCTGGTGGAAGCTGCCACAACCCCATAACGTTTGCGCTCTCTGCACCTGTAGAACTAGCACCACAAGAACACTATCAGAGTGTGCTGCCGAAATGAACTGTGTTGGATTTCATTTGAACTATAGCTTCAGCCATGAAGTACATCACTAGTGAATAACAAAAAGACTCTTGTGGAAGACCCGGGCAACAAGTCCATGGAGAGATCACCGGAGTTCCCTGAAATATTTCTATTCTAGGTTTCTGGGCCTGTGATGGCAGAAGTGGCCTAGAAGGTTTCTGAGATACCCTGAAGGCCCAATTATCTTGCCAATTAGCATATAGTTCCTTTTTTCCCAGGTTAATCTCTTTAGCATGCTGGACTACTCTCTCATTGTGTTCTCTCAAAGGTGCTTTTTCTCTTCTCCCCTGGCCAAGCTATGAATTTTCCTCTTGCTCCCAAATCTCACTGGAAATATGACTAAAAGCAGCCAGAAAATGCTTTGCCATTTGGAAATTTTTTCCACCAAATATCCTAGGACACCCCTCTTAAATTCATCCTTTCATAAAGCTTTAATGCATGGATACAACATAGTCAAGTTCTTTTAACAGTTTAAAAAGGACGACCTTTACTACAATTTCCCATAAAATCCTCATTTCCTTCTGAAAGTAGTTCCCTAGTCTTGTTTTCTGAGCCTTCATCAGAATCACCCCTAATGCCTCACATACAGCATTCCAGGATTTTTCCTAGGCAGCTCCTCCAAATTCTTCCAACTTCTGCTTGTTACTTAGGTCCAAAACGAGTTCTACATTTTTAGGTTCAGTTATAGTAATGATTCCAATTCTTGGTACCAATCTTCTGTATTTGATCCATTTTTCCATTGCTATAACAAAATACCTGAAGTTGAATACTTTTTAAAGAAAAGAGGTTTATTTAGCTCAGTTTGGAGGGTTTAAGGGCATGGCACCAACATCAGCTCAGCTCTGGTAAGGACCTCATGGAAGATAGCATCACAATGGCAGAAGTACATGTGGAAGGGAGAGGTCACATAGTGATAAAGGAAGCCAGAAAGAGAGAAAGAAGGCCAGTCTTTCTCTTTTACAACAATCTTCTCATGAGAACCAGAGCTACACAAGAACTCTGAGGGTAGCACCCTTAATGATCCACTCACCTCCCACTTAGTGTTCCATCACCTCCCAACATCATCACACTGGTGAATGATCTTCCAATATATGAACCCCTGAGGAACACACTCTAACCATATTCAGACCATAGCACCCACCTTTATTTGAGATTTAACTCTGGGATAATAAATTTAAAAATTAACTATATGGTACTATTTTTCAGATATGCCCATAGTCCTAAATATGGCAAACAACAGATTTTCCTTGGCATCAGGGAAAAAGTGTCATGTTTTTCTTTCAAGGTGATCTCTAATATTAGAAAAAAGAGACATTTTTAAATATAAGAGGAATATTATTAATTTTTGTGAATATTTGCTTACATGATGAATACTTTCCTTTATTAAGTATGTGACAATAGGACAAAGAGTGTTTACTGAGAACTTATTGTGTTCCATACTTATGCATATGTATGTCATTGTCCCTACCTAGAATTATATGGTTTAGTTGTAAGAACATGTTAATGTATAATATATATGTCATATATATTATACTACATTCTGTATATACATGTATGATATGGGATATTATATTTGTATTTTAATATTTATCAATAACCAATAAAAGCGTACAAGTCAGGGCTGGGGATGTGGCTCAAGCGGTAACGCGCTTGCCTGGCATGCGTGGGGCGCTGGGTTCGATCCTCAGCACCACATAAAAATAACATAAAGATGTTGTGTCCACCAAAAACTGAAAAATAAATATTAAAAACTTCTCTCTCTCTCTCTCTCTCTCTCAAAAAATGAATAAGTCCATGTAATAGGTCACCAGGTTGTGAATGCAAACATAAATTGTCTGGGAAAGAGAGGGATCCATGTGGGTACTGTTTTAATCTCCAGTTCAAAAAAAAAAAAAAAAAAAAAGAAACTAAAGCCTGGAGAAAGTTAAGCCATTTACCTAAGCAGCATGAAGAAGTAGCATTGAACTCCAGGCCATTTGCTTTCAACAGCTCTTTTTGAGAGAGACGAAGGAGGGAAAGGTTGTTGTTAAACAGAGGTGCTGACAAACCTGGGCGCCAAGCTGGGGAATAACCACTGCAGTGCCATTGGTGCCATCCTCGCACCGATGAGCTCCTTAAAGCCAAAGTCCCATTTCTCAGAGTGATATCCATGGCCCAGAGCCAAGAGGGCCCAGGAGGCAATACTGCATCCTCCACCAAAGAAGGTAACTCTGATATGGACACTTCAAGAGAGAATGAAAAAAAAAAATCTTTCTTTGAAAACCAAACATTGGCTCTGCCAATCCAACTTCACTGAGGTCACTTGAGAACAGAGGAGTTCAAAGGTTCTCTACAGCTTCCATTTACTTTGGCATAAGATTTAACAGAAAGAGAACTAAAGGGGAATTTATATGGCCCAGGCTATTTTCCAAATCTCAAACTGCTAAAAGTTATTTAGAATTTGC